AGCCCAGCTCACAGACCCCAGCTAATGCCTGCCATGAGCCCAGCTCACAGACCCCAGCTAATGCCTGCCATGAGCCCAGCTCACAGACAGACTGGGCTACAACTACTACCCGCCTTCCAGGGATACGCACGGCTTTTTTGTTTTATCTCAGCCAGCTGCTGGCTAGCGCACCAGTTTCCTACTGTGTGGACACAGAGTACCACAGGCCCAGTGGCTGGGAACAACCCGGCTTTACCTGCAGTTCTGGAGGTCAGAAGTCTAAAATGGCCCCGTCAGCTTGGGGGAGGATGACCACATAGGCTGAAGCCACAGGAGAGGTGCTGTGGTGAGTGGCTGCAGTCCTAGCCACTTGGGAGATGGACTGAGGACCATGATGTGGCCAGACCCTGTCAAAAATACCAGCTCTCCCTCCTTCACTCTCTCGTTCTCACTGAGAAAAAAAAAAGGAGCCTGAAACGATTCCCTCTGAGCTGAAACGGGCTCTGGCAGGCTGAGCTCCCCTGCAGAGGCTTTTGTGACTTCCGGAGGCTGCCCTGGCTCGAAGCCAGTCGTGGCCTTCTTAGGTCCTCTGCCCTGACCTCGCTTCGTCCTCACACTGCCTCCTCTGACCCTCCTGTCCTCCTCTTTCATTCACGGAGACCCTGGTGAGTACCTTGGGTGCACCTGGATGATCTCATCTCAAGGTCCTTAATCACATCCCATCTGCAAAGAGGGCCCCTTTTGCCATGTTACTAATGAAGTCACAGGTTCGAGGCTCAGGATGTGGCATCTCTGGTGTGGAGCGGGGCTGGTAATTCTACCAACCACCACGGTTTCATCACCGTGCCAGGAACCAGCAACTGGGGTTTCCTAAACCTGAGCCCACGGCTGGACTTCAGGGAGTCGGTAAAACCCTCGAGACCATCTGCACACGTGCCGTGTGCCTGTGTGTGCTTCTCGGGAGCACTCACAGCCTGCACGCTTCTCATGTGAGCTGAGCCCTCTGTGAGAGCCCCAGGCCTGAAGGCGGGAAGAGAGCGGCTCCCAGTGCCATCCCTGTCGCTATCAGAACACAGACACGAGTCCCCATCAGGAACGTCCGCCACGTCTTCCTCTCCCCCTCTAGTGACACGCAAGATGTCTCCTCAGACAGACGTGCCTGGAGTCCAAGCCTCCGAGCTGAACAAGTCCCCCAGCGAGCTCCAAGGGCCACAGCGACTGAAGACTAAGGACAGAATGGGGCGGGGCCGAGTTTCTACCTGTCCAAGTTCACACCACACAAGACCCCACCAAAGCCTCTCACTCTAGGTGGAGAAAAAAGCCCCCTCCTGGCAGAGCAGCGACCTCGGGTCCTGGCCCTTCTTTCCCTCCTCCGCTTCCCTGGGAGAGGCTCGAAGCCGGCTGAGACTCCCTGACAGCTCTCCTGGATGGCCACCCTGCACGCTGCTTGCCAAAGGCCAGCAGCCGCACCAGGATTATGGACTCTGGGTATGAAATTGAGTTTTTTCGTCTGAATCACAATAATTTTCTTTCCTTTTTTTCTTTCATTTTGCCAGAAGGTACATGTGCACTTGGCAGAGAGACACAGAGAGAAAGAGAGAGGGAGAGGGAGAAAGCATCGTTCCTGTGAGGGAAGGTCACACCACAATCCCCTCTCCATCTCCCCTCCTTTTGGGATCCTGGGCAAATATCCATGCCTGGTATGTTTCTTCAAGATGCTGGGTCCGGGACTTGAACCATGCAGTCAATCATGTGGGATTCAACTGCCTTAACCATCATGCCACGGGCTGACCCAGAGCAATTTTTCCTAGTTCAAGTAACTGCCTCAGGGAAGAAAGCTGTACAGCCGGGAGCCCCGCCGTGCGGGACAACACGCTCACTTACTTTGACTGCTGTGTCTGCCTGGGCCAGGTGCCATCTTCGTTTTGGGGCTCAATGACGAGCACCTGTGTGAACAAGGAAACCGCGGAATGAGGAGAGCACAAACCACTGTACTCCACTCCTGGGCGGAGCCGTGCTGGGGCAGCCCAGGCCCTCCTACCTGACCCTGGTACAGCCCGGCGTCCTGGACAGTGTTGTCTAGCTTGCTCAGCTGCTCGTAGGTGTTGCTCATGTATTTGTTCCAGAGCCGCGTTTCACGCTCCGCGGGGATGTTGAACAGCTTCCGCATCTCCTTCTCGATGGTTGCTACGGCCAGGCAGAAACAGCCCTCAGGGCTCTCTCCAGACGCCAGACTGAAACCAGCCATGGCAGACTACCACTCCTCCTCCCACCTGGTCAGGCCCTCTGGTCAAGAGTTCGAACCACCTTCGGCCCCATGGTGCCCCTAAAGCCACCACCTTCCACGGGCGTCCTCTCGCAATGACATGCCCAGAACCTCACCCTACACCTCTCCTGGTGACGTGGGTCTCATTTACAGTAGGGAAGTAACATACAGGGTGAGAAAGCTTATCCTGGGAGTTAAGACAGATCTGGTTTCCAAAGCTAATTGAGTTACTTCTGCACTTCTGCACCCCTGCATCTTTATGATCACATGACAGATGGCCAAGGCCCACACCCAGCTCTCCAGGAGAGTCCCCTGGGGAACTGGCCCCAGGTCAGAACTGCCAATCAGGTCTGAGAAGCTGGGAGTGACAAACATGAAGAGGGCATCCCACTTCCCTCCTGCCAGCCAGAGTCTGCGTTCTCTCACCAGGTACCCAGGGCCACAGCCCGCCCACTCACCTATGGTGTCTGCCTTGCTGAAATGGCAGCTCAGCACATTGGTGGGGTCGCTGTTCTCGCAGAGCTTCAGCTCCAACAAATACACCTCCACTTTACAGTGCTTCACAAACAGGCCGTGCTCCACCACCTGGGAACGGGAGGCAAGCTGAAGGGCCATGCTCCACACCCAGGAACGGGAGGCAGGGCAGAAGGGCCGTGCTCCACACCCGGGCAGGCTTGGGAGCAACGCATCTCATCAGTCACACAAGGTGAAAGCCTTAGCATGGCCAGTTTCTGTCAGTGACCAGGGGATCAGAGGGGCAGATTATCAAAGTTGCCAGCGCCTGTCCGAGGGGTTTAAAAGTCTCCTTTCCACTGACCAAGAGCGCCTGATAGAACCAGAGAGACCTGCTCCCCACTGGTTTTAATGCCACACCAAGGCCTCCAGATAGGTCTCAGCAGGTCAGCTTTGAACACAAACATCTAGTTTCAGACTTGGCAAAGTAAATTCTACTCAACTACTCTTCCCTCTTAAAATACAGGCCTGTCAACAAAGAGGAATTACTTTTCTATAACACAGCACTAAGACAGCCACCAGATGATCAATACTCAAACTTCAAAAGCTAATTAAAGGTCAGCCACGTGGCTGGTTAAGATGGTGGTTAAGGAGACCAGCAGTTAGCGTAATGGTTATGTCGCTGAACTCCCATGTAGCCAATTGCAGTTTGAGTCCTGGACCTGGTGGCTTAAACTCACACCGGGTGCGTGTGCGTGCGTGCCCAAGATCCCGAGAGGAGAATGGAGGGGAAGGGATTGCGGCGTGGCCATCCCCCCGGGGTTGATTTCTCGCTTTCTGTCTCTAGAGAGCACACTTGCCCTATAGCAAAACCCTCTCCAAAAAAAAAAAAAAAAGAAAAAGATGGTGGTTAAAGTGACTGGACCCCACAAGGCTGACTGTGTAGTTCGATTCTCAGACCCAATGGCTTAAAAACATGCCAGGTGCAAGTGCGTACAAGCCTAGGATCCTGAGAAGAAAAGGAAGGGAGGGGATTATGGTGTGGTCATTCCCCCGGCGTGTACTTTCTTACTTTCCCTGTCTCTCTTTGTCTCTCTCCAGTGAGAGCACATGCCCTGTAGCAAATTTAAAAGAAATAATAAAAAGTTTTTAAAAAATCTGGGTTTCTGTTCCAGGGCCTACCTGCCTTCAAAAAGCTAATCTCTGAGTTACAACTGTAACTTTTAAAATTACTCAACAGTGCAGCCAGAGACTCCTAAGTCCAGGGGAAAAAGCAGAATCGGAACGGTTTAGAAGAAAACGAGAAGCAGTATGTTACTTTATGGCCCTATAGTCCAAATCAACTTTCTCTTATAGAACCTTCCAGAAAATGCTTGCACAACACCACTGGACACACGCCAGGCCGTGAGCAGCTCTGATTTTCTGCAGCCACTCACTGGAACATCCTGAGGGACAACCTCACTCACCACCACGCACACCCACCATTTCCTAAAGAGAAACAGAAGCAAAGCCTCGACCGCCTGTCTGTCCAGTGTCCCCAGGAGATGACACACGGGCCGGCGTGACCACGGAGGCACTCACCTTTCTGACGATGGGCTGCTGGCCTTCTACACAGCCGTACCAGTTTAGTAACTTGTTCCAGGCCTCCGTTGGGACCAACACATAGTCCAGTTCATCAATTAAGTGTTCTTTCAAGGTCTGGCTCTCAGGATCTGGAAAAGGAAAATCATGAATGACTCTCTACCCAGACCCATTTGTTTTACATGATCTTTCTGTATGTTTCAGAAATAAGAAAATGCTGTGTTTACTGGAACAGATACCAAATTGTTAAGAGCCGTAACACAGAACAGACCTGATGGCGCTTGACCTTAGTCACGTGTTCTGAACGTTACACAAGAAACTCAGGTTTCTTTGATAATTGCGGGGCAGTGACATGGTGGTTAAGGGCGCTGGACTCCCACAGAACTGACCATGGTTCGAGTCCCAGACCTGGCAGCTTGCTTTCTCTCTCACTTTCTCTCTGGTGAAATAAGTGAATAAAGTTAAATAAAAGTAATTTTTAGAAAAGAATTATTTAACTTTATTATTATTATTTTAATTTGACCAGAGAGGGACAGAGCGAGAGAGGGGGGGAGAGAGAGAGAAAGAAAGAGAAAGCGAGAAAGCAAGGCACCAGGTCCAGGACTCAAACCAGTCAGGCGTGGGAAACTAGCACCCTTAACCACCACGTCACCTGCCAGTTCCTAAATAAAATAATAATTTTTTTTGGAGGTTTTTGCTATACGGTGCGTGTGCTTGCCAGAAAGACAGAGGCAGAGAGGCAGAAGGCGAGAAATCACCCCCCAGGGGGGATGGCCATCCCGCAATCCCTTCTCCTCTATTCTCTTGGGCACACATGCACGCGCCCGGCAGAGTTAAAGCCACTGGGTGTGGGACTCAAACTGTGGTCGACTACATGGGAGTCCAGAGACTTAGCCATTACACTAACTGCTGGCCCTGCTAAATAAAATAATTCTTAAAAAAAAAAAGAACATTCAACTTGTGCCTACCACAGAGAGGCCACATTACTAGAAGGGAGAAGTGAACATCCAGGGTTTGAAACCCACTCTCACTTCCCATAAACACCCCCTCCAGGAACACTGGAAACCACTGTCCTCCCCCAGGCCAGGGAAGCCAAAAAACAAGGAAAGCAAAGAGTACCCACAGGGTGGGACTCTTCTGTAACTCAAGGCAGACATTAAAAAGAAAAACACCATGGGACCAGCAGTCAGTGTAATGGCTATACCTGAGGCAGTGGAAAGTACTCAAGATCAAACAGGCAGAAAGTGGGGCCAGCAGGTGGCGAGGTGGTTAAGGGCGCTGGACTCCCACATGGCTGACCGTGGTTCAAGTCCTGGACCTGGCAGCTTGCTTTCTCATTTTCTCTCTCTCTCACTCTCACTGTGTCCCTCTCAGGTCAAATTAAAAATAAATAAATAAATAAATAAATAAAGTTAAATAAAATAATTCTTAAAAAAAAAGGAGGCAGAAAGTAAGAAGGATGTTGACAGGGACTCAAAGGGAGGGGCGAAGGGTATAAACTTTCAGACACAAGCACTCTCTGAGAATAAAATAAAATAAAATTCAACACTGACCCTATAGCCTACTGGTTATAGAAGCCAGATCCCACATGGTTAAATGGTTTCAAATCCCAGCCATGAAAGCTTGAGAAACGCATTGGACGCATGTATGTGGCCAAAATCCCAGCAGAATGGAGAAACGGAGAAGGGACTGTGGTGTGACCGTGCTCACTAGGACGTGCTCTCCTCCCCACCTTGGGGAGCACACACGCCCTCTGACCATTTAAATGAAAAAAAAAGAGAGAAAGAGAATTTTAAAATACACCATGATCAATCTTCAGTGACGAACTTTCCAGAGAAGCTCTGACAGCTACCAACAAGGACAGACCAAGCTTTTCTTTTCTTTTCTTTAAAGAGATTTTTGCTATAGGGCAAGCGTGCTTGCCAGAGACAGACAGAAAGGGAAAAAAGTATCCCCCGGGGGACGGTCACGCCACAATCCCTTCTCCGCCACTGTCCTGTCGGGATTTTGAGCATGCACAAGCAAGCATGTGGTATGAGTTTTAAGCTGCTGGGTCTGGGACTTGAACTGCGGTGGACTACACAGGAGTCCAGTGACATAACCATTACGCCATCTGCTGGTCCCCAGATCAAGCTTTTCTATCCAGGAATAGCAGGGAGATCTGGGATAGCACGACCCCCGAACACTGCCCCCATGACTGACTCCTGGTGCATACGCGAGAGGAGCAAAGGAGGCGGGCAAGTCCCACGGATACAGACCGCGCTCCATCCTGCTAAGACTTCTCCCCTCTGCCGCTTGATGATGCCTGGGGAATGTCCAGCCCCCAGAATCGTCAACTTTGCAAATAAACCTCCACATTCTTTATAGATCACCCAGTCTCACCACCTCCTGGCTCGCTCCTGGGATGGGGGCTGCAGGGCTGCCACGTCCCCATGCCCTCCCTCAGCCTTGCAGGCTGCTCCTCAGGGATTTCCATTAGCCACACAGGAAGCCATCGTGTTCCAGATACACAAGACTTCGGGTCACGGCCCAGGTGTACACGCAGCTAGAAACACAACAGCCTACCGCACCTGAAAAGAGTCCTGAGTTGTCTATCGGGCCAGGAAACAGGTTGCGTTCACCCACACTATACATATCCCAGCTGTCGAAGCCCACGTACTTCTTCCACTGCTTGAACCACCGGCTGTCGATCAGATACCTAGAGAGAGACAGAGTCTTACTGTAGCAGGAGCCCTGAGGTACTGAGTTTCTGCAGCTGGTCCCTTAATCTTTTCCCACTAAAAAACACTGCCTCAAAAGCAGGAATAGGGGCCAGGCCTCGCGTGACACAGAGGACCTGCACTAGGGCAGGCTGTCCACTAAGTGAAATGACTGTTGAAAGAATTAGTAGGACCAGCCAGGGGGCAGTGGTTAAGGTGATTGGATCCCAAATGGCCAACTGTGCAGGTCCCAGACCCAGTAGTTTGAAAAACAAAATTAGGACCAGTGGATGGCACAATGGTTATGTTGCTAGACTCCCATGTGGTTGACCTGAGCAGTTTGAGTCCTGGACCCAGTGGCTTAAACTTACGCCAGGTGCATGTGCGTGTGTGCCCAAGATCCTGAGAGGAGAATGGAGGAGAAGGGACTGCAACATGGCCATCCCCCCTGGGGGGGGGGTGATTTCTCAGTTTCTATCTCTCTGTTTCTGTCTTTCCTGTGAGAGCACATGCCCTATCAAAAACCTCTCAAAAACAAAACAAAACAAAACAATTCCACAAAATCCCAAGATGTGAATGGAGGAGAAGGGATTGTGGGTGGTTATTCCCCCTAGGTGGCTGATTTTTCATTTTTCTCTCTCTGGCAAGCACATGAACTTTATAGCAAAACTTAAGTAAATAAATAAACAGATAAAAGGAAGGAAATGCTGGCTTCAAATGCTTATTTAAATGGAATCTTTCTGTAGGGAATAGTGTATTTGCTAATTAACAAGTCATTAATTTCATAATAATCTTTGTAGAGGTCCTTGCCCAGGAAGACAGTTTGATTACACTGCTATGCTCAATGTAAACATTAATTTTCTTTCTGAAAATGTTATAGTAACACCAACTGCTTCAGTTTCCCTTTAAATCAAATGAGATATCTAAAAATGTACATTCAGGGACCAGCAGATGGCATAATGGTTACGGTCCTGGAGTTCCATATAGTCAACCATGGTTTGAGTCCCAAACCCTATGGCTTAATCACACAAAGCAAGTCTAAGATCCTGAGAGGAGAATGGAGGAGAAGGGATTGCAGTGTGGCCATCCCCCTGGTGGGTGATTTCTCGCTTTATGTCTGTCTCTCCAGAGAGTGCACGCACCCTATAGCAAAAATCGCTGAAAAAAAAATAATAATAATAAGTATGTTCATATGTGTATACATACACAAATGCATGTGTTTACACTATAAATCACAGTGCCTAGGTACATTCAACTTGTCAAAAAGCATTAAATTGGGCATTACATTAGCTGTTTTACAATTACGACAGAAGGAGGGGGGAAATCTCTGTGGGGCAACACATAATTACATTGGTGAGTCCTTCCAATTTTATAACCAACCAAGGTCAGAGAAAATGAGGCACCTTCTCAGCGGCCACGAGGCCAATACATACATCCAACTCGCCAACACATGCTTTTCCCTCCAAATTCCTTGAGCAATAATTCCTCCAGAGACTTCTACTGTGTGATATAAAAAGAAAAAACTTTTTAAATTCTCTCTCTTTTTTTAGATTTTTCCAAAGGGCACATGTACTCCACCAGAGAAAGACAGACAGAGAGAGAGAGGGAAAGTGAAAAATCACCTCCCCCCCACCCCCCCACCCCCCAGGGAGGATGGCCACGCATCAATCCTGTGTCCTCTATTCTCTTGGGATTTGGAGCATGCATGCACACACACATACACACACACACACACACAGCATGATCTCCAAGCCTCTAGGTCTGGACCCAAATCACTCAGCCAGCTGTGTGAGTTCCAGCACCTTAACTTCCACACCACCTGCTGGCCCCTCCCTGTGTGATTTAAGTCTATCCTATTAACCTTCCTCTGCTTCTGCTGAGTAATAGCCCCATGCAGAGTACTTCAACCTCTGCTTGCCCCACCTCGCCCAGGATGAGCACCACCAAGGGCACCTGAACACCTCCTAACCCCAGTGTTTGTCTTCTCTGCTCAGTTCCTGAGCAATGCTCAGTCATACTCAATGCAAAGCCTGCCCCAATGACACCACCCAGAGTCTCTCCACTGGTGCAAAGTATTGTCCCTTCTATTAAGAAGTCTCAAGTTCAGCCGTGCACTTCTAAGCCCTGGACTTTTAATCTTCTATCTGTAGAGGTCCAGGATCTAGGCTACCCTCCGCTCCCACTCTGAGATGCTACTGCCACAATTATTTTTCACATTTGCTACCAAAATGATCTATACGCTGTTCAGCTTCTAACCCTGACTTCTGCTCTGCAGTTTACAAGTTACAAAGTATCTACTTCTGGTCTTCGCCTCTAACTCCCCAGGCGGGTAAACCGAACACGGGACCCTGGATCTGGTGGCTAGGCCCCGAAGTCCGCGAGGTGTGGACACCTTAGCCCAAGGTCACAGGACGAGTCCTCGATGCTAAAGGGCTCTCCCCACCCTAGAGCCCCCGCGAGCGCTCCTCATCCCCACGTCCTGCCGCCCGGGCGCCCGCCAGCCCGCCTCCAGGCAGACTGGGCCGGGACGCCCCCAGCTCGCCTATGCCGTCCCCGAGCTGTTCCCGGAGTAACTCTCCCGAACGGCAGGTGTCAGGCCACTCTTTCAGGGTCACCAGACACCACCCCCGCTCGGCTCCTACCCAAGCCGAGGAAAAGCGGCCTGGGCTGCGGGCCCGACCTGGCCCCGGCTGTGCGCGGCGGCCGCCGGCCCGGTGCTCACCACTGCGCCCCCCGTTGGAGCGTGGTCCTCATTAAGGCTC